GTGTTGTTATCCCCAAGTTGAGTCTGTCTGTCGCCGATGACCATAACTGGTGAGTGAGCCCTCCCTGTCCTTTGTCTCAACCCTCAAGCCCTTTTGGTTGCATTTTCTCCTCCCCATCCCCCAGGGGACTGAGCAGGTGTGAGCGAGTAGCGGCGTGGTGCTTTTGCTGCCAGATGGGTAGGCTCAAACCACGGCAAACAGTTATAAAAATGTGGCTCCGGCTGCTTTCAAACAGAGGGAAACACAAACCCTAACTCTCTTTAATAAGTGTTGTTATTTCATCCCTATATCAGAAAACTCAGTGTTGCTTTTTTTAAGTGGCCTCACTGCAGGAGCCATGACTGACCATTACTAGATCCTAGCTTTCTCTTACCTCAGAGCTCTGTCTTTCAGAACACACTAAAGCCCACTCTTCAGAGGAATGGAAAGTTTCCTTTGATACAGTCTGTGGCAGTGTTTAAACATAGAATGATTTTAGAAAATCTGCAGAACTCACAAATAACATTGCCATACCTATTTACTTCTATGCTATGGTTTGAGCTAGAACAGAACTAATTCTGTTCAGTGATTTTTACTTTCCAACTGAGTCTCTTCTGAGTAACTGCACTTTCTGAAATCACAGCGTATTTTTCCAGTGTCTGCTTCTAGTAGTGACAGCACATGAGGTTAATACCAAGGAGTGGTGTGCAGAAAGGTTCTTGCTTATGCTTGCTCCTATAGCAACCGAGTTCAAAGGTGATTCTTGTGGCCCATGGTGAAGTGCCATAAGAAAAAGGGTTGTAATAAATTAAAAAGACCTGTGGTAAGGAGTGAACCAGGCAGGTAGGTGATACAAAACTGATCGACTAAGTATTCCATTCTGTATACATCATATTCAGTATAGAGCTGAGGGATTACAAAGGTTAAGCCCTCTTCTTCAATGGCTAGTGTTGGAGGACAGTCTGCCTTCAGTCCCAGTCCATGCATTCCTGAATCCAGCTCCTGAGTCCAGTTCTGATCTGCTGCTGAGTCCAGCCTGGGATTTCCCCAGCGCCAGCCCTGCAGCACCAGTGGTGACTTGTAGTCACAAGGGGGGTTGGTTTCAGTATTGGTTCTGTATATGTTTGTATATATTTCATTATCTCCTTATTAGTGTTTTTTTTTTTTTTTAATTGTTTTATTAAAGCTGTTTCAGTCTTCATTCCAACCCAAAAGTCTCTCCCTTATTCCCTCTCTCTTCCCTTTCTGGGAAGAGTTAGTGGTCAGCCCAGCCCCAACCCTTGACACTCCTAGCATTCAAAATTCTTAATTTTTAGACGGCTTAGCACAATTGGCTGGTTGCATTCTTTTAGCTTTCTAGAAAAACGTTCATTTCTGTGCATTCCATTGGATCACAAAAAAAAAAAAAAAAAAGTAAAAAGTCTGCTTGCCTGGGTCTTTCCCTCTCTTCTTCTCTGACCTAAATTTTTTCATGGTTTCCAGCTTGATCAATCTGCTGAAACTGGTGAGTTGAGAAGGTGGGGTATATTGTTTTTCTGGTTTTCATTTAAACTATATGACAGTTAATAGCCAAAAGATATGAAATACCTAGAAAGCACAATCTTGAAACCCTCTGCTTGGTGTGAATCATTTTGAACGTCTAACCATAACTTTAATTTGGAGTCCATTTGTAGAAGAGATGCTTGATGGGAAATATTTAGAAGTAGGTTCTTCTTTTATGCTGTGGAGACATTTTTGAGTCTGCGAAGACTGAATTCTAGCCTAAGAATCCAGTGATGTCCATGACATAATTAATGAGAAAGAATATGTAAGGAAAAAGTTTAGAGAAAGAAGCAGACACTGTTGCACTCAGAGGCCTGCTCTTTGCTTAGTAGGAAAGAATGCCAAAAAATCAATTTGACCAGTTTCAGACTTTCTGGTGGACAGCTCAAACAATTTCACTTAGTTTTTCAAAAGACAGTAAACAATGAGATTTTTACTTCCATATTATTTGGAGTACTTAGAATGGATTTTCATGGTAAAGTCTGTTAACAGCCATTCTGTGTCAGTGAGTTAAGGTTTGAGTAGACTACGTAACTTCGTTTTTCTTTTAAGTACATCAGAGGATATCCATTCATCTTTCTCTTAAAACAATCTTTTGTCAATGATCCACATTGTAACTATTGCTTTTTTAAATGAGTGTTTATATTGGACAGTGGAAATTTAATGTTATTGATGCTTTTTGTCAAGCACTCACAATATGCATATTAAGTGTTCAAAAACATTCAGCGATAAACTTCTGCTGATATCTGTGAGCTAATTTATGTTCTTTTAAGGAGCTATTTCCTCAGTTATTCCTTCATTAAAATTTAAAAATCCCTGGAAGGCAGACCAAAAGGAGCTCTCTTACTAGTAATCTGTGTTAATTTAAATGATTTATGAGAGAAACTAAGAGCACTTAATTCTGTGAAAAAAGATCATTATAAATTGATATTTGTCTTTTTATCGTTCAGATGTCTCTTGGCAACTTTCAGGAACCTGAGTGCTATGTATTTGAAGTAGTTCAAACTCTGTAGTAGCAAAATGCCGTAATCTTGATATAAATAAATACCTTTAGTAGTCAGGAAAATAAAATGCACTATGCAACATAAAAAGATTTGTCTGCTTTACTTACCTGGCTTACCTAAAAGCCTCGACTTTTTGCAGTGGTAAGCAAGCTCCTGTTCACAGTGCTCTGCATGGTTAATTGTAGCCTGAAGCTGGTCTAGGCTGGCAGAGTACTTGAAAAACACAGTGTAAGGGTTCTCTCGATTAGCACTTTTGACTCTGGTTAGGTTTGTGTTGTTATGCTGTATAATTGTCCACGTTGTATCTTTCAAAACACATGTGAAAAGTAACAAAGAATGAGAAGTAGTTGCATAAGCTGGTAATGGAAAGAGTATGTATGATGAAATCAGCCAAATTTCAAGGTGACTTCTTTGATCACAAAAACTGCTTTGGGCGTATGAAACAGAGACATAAATCACTGACCAAAAATGAAAAAAATTAATCATTGTTTCTATTTATAAGTAGATGATTGTATCATGACAGTAACAGGTATTCAGCTTGTTGTGATTGTTGAATAAGGAAACAGTAAATGACAACACCCAAATAATTGTTTTGAAATGACATAGTTTACTTGGTAAATTGCAATGAAAAAATAGAAAGAAATAATACTTACTATTGTTACTTTTCCCAGGCTTAAATTGCTTATAAAATAACACTAAATTTTATCCTAGGTTCTAGCTACATTACATGTATCACTATAATTTGAATTAATTTATTCTGTGTGAGAAAATTACCTGCATTTGCCTGAAAAACACATACTGTTCTTAATTCACTTTTAGCTCGGATAGTACTGGGTAGGGCAGCTACGTACTTTATTGCATTGTGTAGATGATTCATGTAGACCTGGAGGCAGGCAAAATGTTGCTAAAATATTTATTCCAGCAGCAGCTGAACTGTGTCTGCAAGATTTTTTTCCATGAATCAGTAGCAAATATTCAGTACTCCAAACGTTATTTCTAGAAAAATATGTACTGAAGTAATGCTCTTGTAATAAAAGAGCAGAAAAGGCTTGCATATAAATATATATATAATTCAAATGGTTGAATAATAAACAATATATTGCATGTTTATAAAAGGTATGTGCTAAGATGTGCAGTTTCTCCAACTTGGAGCTGTGTTGCTTACACTAGGCAACAAAGCAGTTCAATAGCTTTCCAGTTATATTAATACTTCACAAATATTCTTTCATTAAAAGTCTTTTAACTTCTTACAGCAACTATGGAATGCATTTTTAATTGTAAAAACTTACTACAATGCAAAACCACACAGATCAAAACCTAAAACCGATGTTACGATACTTATAGGAAGGTGTTACTTTAAAAGCTACTAGATGCCACAGGCTAAGCACTATGTGTTTACTTTGAGAATATAAAATTAATTTCCTGCACACTGAGACACTGGAAGGATGGAACTGACTGGCACT